GGTAGTTGTTAAGTGTAGGTATTGGGTATAGGATTAGAGATGTAGAATATGGTCATGCAGAATATGTACTTTATAAGTACTAATAAACAGACAATATGTTAATAATAGGCATGCTAATAAGCTACTAGTTAATAGTGAGAATTGGTCCCTATATTAAAGTGTTATCCAAAATATTTTATATTTCTGTATTTTATATTATTGTGTATTTTGATCAAATTAATGCAGGCTTGATAAGCATAAAAGCCTTCTTTCAAAACATTAAAAAATCTTCCCAGCCCAAACTTTTGAACAGTAATGTAAATGCACAGCTTTCAAGTTTAATAATAATAATAATACATTTGACTTCCCTAATCTGGCAACCTGTTGTAAAACCAGTGATTAGTCACGCCTCAAAATATTTGATCAATCCAGTAACAGACTGACCAGACAATAGATTTTTTCAGCATTGTTGGTGGGATATAACGTGTGGTGTTTTTGTCTGTTAGCTGACTGTGTATAACTGGTCTTGTGCGGACCCGTAAGCCTCTGTGTGTGTACTTTAAAAAAATATCCAACAGTATTCCATCCCAAATATTCCATCCCTGGCCCTGCCACCACAAAAAAAATCCCACACACAAACCCACAGGTCTCCCTGCCTGCCCAAAGAATCTGTAAAAGCTTCTGTATGTAGGTACAAAGTCAGCAACCACACTCTCTCTCTCTCTCCCTGTAGGTAGAAAACACAAACACACACTAACAAACACAAGCACACAGCCAGCAAGTGGCATATCAGTGCATGAAATTCTCTAAAGGGGTTTAAGTATTTACCCTCCCCACTATCACGGCCTGCTAAAATTCAGCTTACCCTGTTCAATAAGGACTTCAAAGGGAATCATAAATACCTTTTGCCCGCAAATTCTACTGTACAGTGTTTTTTCTCCTCGCCCCCCTTTTCCTGCTTCTTTTCTTCCCATTTTTCACCCATTCTCCAGTAAAAACCGTCCCTTACTGTGAAATTTATTAGGAGCCTTTTATGTAGCATTTATAAGTGTAATAAGAGAAATTGGGAGGTAATTTCTGCTGTTATTTAAGCAGGCGAGCTGTAGGAAAATGCAGGTAAATGGATCTGTCATTTTGATCTGACAGGAAACAACTGTTGAGAGAAAAACATGATTACATAAATGTTCCAAAAGAGAAAGAAACTATATTTTCAAAATTAGCAGTTACACAAAAACACTAGCAGACTGATTCAATAAATGGTATTATTTATACATATTATTATCATTATATATAACAACTATTAGTTTTTTACTAATACTTAAACTATATATTTTTTTGTTTTGTTTTGTTTGTTTTGTGTGTACAGCATATACACACCAAATTACACATTTTCTAATAATAATATATGTATTTTTTAATAATAATATGATTTGCTGTTGCTACATTTTCTCTGAGATCTATTTTATTACAGAAATCAGTAGTAAAACATTGCCCCAGCATGAAAAGATTTAAAAAAAATATGCAAGACAGAAAAGAGCTACATAGGAAAATACACAGCGGCACTACAAAAGGCATTCTGGAATATTATTATGATGAAAATGTACAGCAAAGCTATTACATTTATAATGTTTTACAAACTCATCAAATAAGTGAATAGAGATTAATTGCCCCGGTCGACCTTAAAATAATTATCAGAACGAGGCAGCTCTAAACTAGATGAAATTGATACACTTGAATAATTAGATCCTTGGCACTGACCTACTGAAGTCAATAAAGGTTATTAAGGCCAATTGCTGTCTAAACGCATTAGAGACAGAGAGAAGCGCTCTGCACCGCATCCAGTATTTCAGCGGCTATACGATAATCCTATCACTGCATCCGCCTCTCTCTCTCTCCGCTGCCCTCACACACATATACACCCCCTACCCTCAGACACACTAAACCAGATTGGATTCGCTTAACCTTTCAGTGGCTTTGATCAAATGAGCTCACACTGCAATAACATTTACATTGACCCTCACTCTCACTCTCGCTGGGGAGAGAGGTCTTTACCTTCCTGTCTGCCACACACGCACGCACGCTAGGTCAATAACATAATCAGATATCAATGGTGACCCCTGCAGTCATGATTGCTCGCTTTCTCTCGCTCGCTTTCTTCAATTGGACGGAGAGGATGAAATTATGAAATGGTCACTGTGCCCAAGCCGACACACACAAATAAAGACCAACACAAACACCACTGAAAACGAACAGACGATGCACCTAAACGGCTCACTGTACCCATAAACGCATAATAGTTTCTATTCAGTCTGAAAATAAATGTTTCAGCACACAATATTTGATGACGGCGTATGTGGCAGAAAGATAGAATAGACGCAGTGAGAGAGGAAAAAAAGCTTTTTGATGTGACGCTCTGAGCGACAGAAGTGGAAAAAGTGACAAATTAGACCTGAAACATCAGAAAAAACCCACAATACTGTTAACAGACCTGTCTTGCTCTCAGCCGTCTCACTCTCAGCCCTGCAACCACGTACAAAAAAAAAAGAATCTTAAAAAAAAATTATGCCTGGATGGTATTTAAAATATTTTGCATATAGCCAACTATCTCTCCTGAGCCAGGATAGACAGACCGAGAGAAGGAGAGAATGAAAGTGTCACTGTTAAAAGCCTAAATAAATGTCAGTGGTGTATGAAGAGTACGATAGCTTCTCTGTAGGGACCCGACGTGCACCCAGTGTGTCTCTGTGTGTGTGTGTGTGTGTGTGTGTGTGTGTCTCTGTGTGTGTGTGTGTGTGTGTGTGTGTGTGTGTGAGAGAGAGAGAGAGAGAGAGAGATAGAGAGAGAGAGAGAGAAATTGAGGAAAGGGACCTGAGACCTGATGTTTGATAACATTTACCTCATCTTATCAGAGCACATTTAAATGGCTATCTTTATTCTTTTCTTTCTTCTTTTCTGACATATTTCCTATGTTGTTTCCATTAAGCAGTTCACATTAATTCATGAGGTACAGGTTGGAGAGAGAGAGAAAAGGGGGGGGGGGGGGGA